CGCATTCAAATGCATGTTTTCGAAAATAATTCATTCTCAATACAATATATAGCTATAACAAAAAATATCTTTGTGTTGAAATAATATTTACTGTGGATACACTTTTATTTTCAGATGAAATATTTACCAAAAAAATACTAAAGTTACCTATTACAAAAAATTTAAAAATACCTTTGGAATATAATAAAATATTAATATTTTTTCCCCATGTGGCTGTAGATTGTGGTGTCTTACCATTGCAAACCTAATACATTCACCTAAGCTGGTATCTCTTTTCAGAGCGGCACCATATAGATGGAATATGAATCGCCGCAAGTAATCTTGGCGCCCACTATCCTACCCAGGGGGGCGGCCGCGGTAGGTTTCCAAGTGATTGGTTATCGGCCCCGTGGTTTTGCTTTGCCCAAAAGGTTAGAACCCAGTACCCACAAAAGCCCCGCCGTGTAGGGCAGCGATCACGTTAAATCTGTCGGAAGTTTCCACCCCCCCCCGTTGGTGTGGGTGTGGTAGTTAGGAGAGGGTGTCAGCTAAAAAGGTGTCGCCCACGTCACTTGCCCCGGGGTTTCCCAAAGTACGTGGTCCGTCACCAAAAGCCCTCGTGTAGCTGAACAGTGCGACGTTAATATTCAATCAATAAATCAATCAATCAACCTACCTAGAGGGAGGCATCTGAGTTCTGACGATGCGAAACCGTATGGAGAAATATTAAATGAGTTTTTTTTAAAAAAACTACAACTGAATAAAGTTTTTAAATTTTTCCCAGTAAAAAATCAAAAAATGACGGTATGGACGACGGCAACGAAATTTTTTAAACCCTCGGTTAAGTGACGAGGACGACACGGGAGCTGGCTCTCCCTTTTTCCCAAAAAGGGGGGCTGCGGTAGCCCATTGGTAAAGGTATTGGATCATGGCAGGCATGTCTTGACCCCAGTACCACTAAAAAACCCCGCCGTGTAAGCGATGCACGTTAAATCTGTCGGGGCTAAAACGTCCTCCCATTGGTGTGGTAGTTGGGGGGGGGTGTCAGCTCAGGTGTTATCCCCCGGCCGACAATGGTTCAAAATTACGTGGGGTCGCCAAAAGCCCTCGTGTAGTTTGAACAGTGCGACGTTAATATTCATTTTCGCTCCCCTTTTTTCCAAACATCCACCACCCCCCAAACAGGGGGTTTGAGCCACAACAGATTTTCCGTGCATTAACTCCTCTACACGGTGGGTCTTCAGAAGCCCTGGGGCTTGAAATCATGACATATCGGTAACGATCTCGTGATCAGTGACACTAAACTGCCGGGGCCTTATTTAGAAAAATTTTTCGATTTTTTTTTGTAACCCCAAATGTGTTGGGGTAATTGTAAGAATACTACTTCTTTATATATATATATATAAATACTCTTTCACTATCATATTTTAGAATACGAAGCGTGCTCGGAAACTAAGTACCGTTTTGGAAATACTCGCATAAAAAAAATCTTTTTTCAAAAAATTTATCTTTATATGAAATAGCTCGACGCAAATTATTTTTTTACATACCGTACTTACTCGAATCTAATTATAAACTGTACTGTTTTTTCAGTGTTAATGCTACTGAAAATCGGGTGCGGCTTAGAATCGAAACCATAACCTTTGTTGGATGGGGGAAATATTGAATTTCCACTTCTTTCAAAGGGAAGAATATAGCCGTCCATTCTGGCTACTTGTATCGATGACTCATCCCATTCCCTGGGTTTTTCTCTAGTATTTTGGGGTTTAACCCTTAAAACATCGTTGTCCCGCTAGTATTTAGGAAAGTATACCGCCTTTTTTTTTTCTTTTAATCAACTAAATATCAGAGATAACGATAATAGCTTCAATACGAATTCACTATGACCAAAAAAATGAAAAAGGAATTTTTAAAAATGCAGAAGGGAAAAAAAAAAAAAAAAACAGAACACACACACAACGGCCCCCTTAAAAATTTGACGCGGGTGGAATAAATTTGGGGCGATGACGTAAGCAAAATGATTTGTTATGTTCTTGTTACTAATGCCCCCGATCGGCAAAGGCCCAAATTTAAAGGGCCCCCGAAAATTCATCATGGCAAATGGTTTTAAATGACGCCTTTTCGTTAGTCGAGCTTTTGGAAAACCCCCACCGGGGGCCGCGGTAGCCGAGTGGATGGGGTCGTTTTGCCTTGTGGGTTCCAGGGCCCGGGGAAATAAAGCCCCGCCGTGTAGGGCAGCGATGCACGGTTAAATCTGTCGAGCTGGGAAAAATCCCTCCCGTTGGTGTGGTAGTTAGGAGAGGGTGCCAGCTCAGGTTCTCCGTCAGACCATGGTTTTTGCCCGCCCAAAGCCCTCTGAGCTGAACGGGTGCGCGTTTATTCATGGCCCCTACGGTGACGGAACGTTGGCTCGGTTTCCCCCCAATTTTTTGGGGGGACCCCCTCTGGGGGGGGTCGGGGGACCCCCCACTTCTCTTCCCCCACTAACCTCACAAAGAGGACTTGCGGCTCACGGCTATTTAAAAAAACCCTCACCGCTAAGGCACTATACATTTAGAGCATCCATGCTTCCGGGGATTAGAACCCAGGCTAAAACCCCCGGTCACTAACCATTTAACCGGATGGGCGCAAAACTGATTTAATTTTTGCTTCTAAGTGTTCAACAGTCTTTAATAATTCTGTTTCATTCTTCTTTTATACATTCTTTAAAAAGAAAATGTTAATAACAAATGCATTGAATGGCACGGAAAGTGAGTGAGTGAATATTAACGTCGCATTGTTAAGCTACACGAGTGCTTTTTGCGACGGACCTCGTAATTTTGTACCACGGTCAAGTGACGAGGACGACACCTGAGCTGGCACCCCCTCTCCTAGCTACCACACCACACCAAGGGAGGACTTTTGACTCTCACAGATTTCACGGATCGCTCCCCCCACGCGGGGCTTTGTGGTATTGTGCTCGAATCGTGAATGCCCGCCACGATCCGATTCCCGACACTAGGCTGGCAGCCACGAATGGCACGGGAAAAAGACACCTTTCGAAATTGGTGGGGCACCAAATTTCCCAAGTCCAACATTGGGGTAAAATCATTTCGGAAAAGTCGATGGTTAAAGATTTATGGTTCTTGTGTGTATGTATTTTTAAGTTTTTATAATACTGGTAAAATAAATTATATAATTATTAACTCCTAATAATTCCTATTAAAACCTTAAATATCGGAAATCGTTGAACCTTTTACACAATTCTCAACTCAAAAATGTGTTGAGAATTGGAAGTGTGGCTTAGATTCGAGTAAATATGGTAGTTACCAACATTGCTCAGACATTTTTCATATCGGAGATCACCTTGTCTATACCCTCTTCAAAAAAAGATGCCGGCATTGAATAGAGACCAGGGGCGGCTCTAGGGCACCTTTCCGGGGGCGGCATTTTGGGTCAAATTTTTAAAAAAAATTTTTTTTTTTTTTAAAAAAATATGATATATTTTCTGAAATATTATTGGGTGTGAATTTGGTATTTCATTTAACGTATCTGTTTTTTATTTATATTTATTAACGTATCTGTATATTTAATGAAAGTTTTGTTTTATGTTGAAACTTGAAGGTTTCGAGGAGGGAGTATATATTAAAACATGGTCATGTTTCCACATCTTTCACTAGTAGCTTTCTCGCCATCCCGGAATGAGGTCACAACGGACATTCCTTTCACCCTTACAGTGTCCGGTTTCAGCTATCCTAAAGGGGACAAGGGTAATATGAGGTCTTGGTAGATAGAGAGTCACAGGAGGTGTTTTATTTTAGTCTTGAGTGTAGTTACTATAAGTTAAAACAAATGCTTGTGATCCCCACCATTAGTGGACTATTTTTCAAAGAAATTGGCCTACTTAAATAGACGATTCCTTCTCTTTCATTACACTTATTTGAAATAATAATTACGTCGTTAATTTCAAATTATTTTGAATTTTTTAAGACTTAAAATAATATATATATATAATATATATATAGAGAGAGAGAGAGAGAAAGAGGGGCGGCATTATCCATTTTTGTCCGGGGCGGCAAAATTGCTAGAGCCGGCCCTGGAGAGACACTGCTGAACAATGGCTTGTGGAAACTTATTTGTATGATGGACGGTTCTAAAAGCAGTCTTATTGTGAACCGTCTATCTTCACTCACTTTTTCATTCGTTTTTTCAACCAAATTACGTTAAGAACAGAAGGCCGCCCACTCCATGCTTCGCCATGAACATTGGTGCTTCCTTCATTGAAATGCCGAACCTAGTTTTTTGCCATTCCATCGCTCATTACATTTTCACCAAATTACTAGTTAAAGATGAATTTTTCAACTGGCATAACATTTCTTGTGCTCAAAAGACGGGTTACAGAGCATCACAGTCGGGGGAATCGGCAATCGTCTTAAACATCTTGAACTCTAGCTAACAGCAGGGCCTATCGTAGCAGGTGTGCATCGCACGCAGGCGGCAGCATATAATTGACTTCCTACTGGAATGATTATTGATTAGAAATCCCAATATTCATCTCCCCCGATCTTTTTTCTTCCCTTTTCCTTCATAAGTTCGCTTTCTGGTTCTCCGGGGGACGCCATTTACTGCGAGCCCATACTGCCAAATTTTCCCTACACATGAAGCAATTACAATCTATGTAGCATTCTATTTTACATAAAAAAAAGTGTGTTTACTTATGTATTCACGTAAGAAGTTATACTTCTTTGGCGTAACAAGATTAAAATCCTGCTAAAAATCTTTAGCAGGGCAAGCTGGGGGCCAAGGACGAAAGGCGGTCACAAGCAGAGTTGAACGATACTAACCTTCAGTCAAACGGACCAGCCAAACCTGAGATAATCACGATTTAAATAAATTTAAACAACCCCGCACACAGGGACAATAGGACCAATAACATGGGGAGGGGGTCGAAGGGGGGAATGATCTGTCCCGTTCTGCCTATTTCTAGACAAAGCATTTTCGTATCCGTTCCAACGGAACGCAAAGCAAAGGTTCGTTGATGCGGGGGTAATAGCTCAGTGTGTGGTAGAGCATTCGACTGCAGATCGAGAGGTCCCTGGATCAAACCTGGATGCTCCCTTTTTCAGGGAAGTGAAGAGAAATTTTTTGAGGATTTTGAAGGCGGGAATGATTTGTCCCGTTCTGTATATTTCTAGACAAAGCATTTTTGTATCCGTTCCTACGGAACACAAAGCAAAGGTTCGCTGACGCGGGTGTATAGCTCAGTGGTAGAGCATTCGGCTGCAGATCGAGAGGTCTCCGGTTCAAACCCGGGTGTCTTCTTCTTCAGGGAAGTGAAGAGAAATATTTTTCTGAGAATTTCGAAGGCGGGAATGATTTGTCCCGTTCTGTATATTTCTAGATAAAGGATTTTCGCATCCATGATGGTGTGCGTTACATCCATGACGGTGTGCGCGCGCATTGTAAAAATTTACCCTCATCCTATTTCTCTAACGCCCCAAAAGAAGTATAACTTCAATAATATGATTCACAATAAGTTCGGGGCAGGGGTGGCTGTAGGGACAATCGGGGCAGCAAATTTTAAGGGCGGCATTTGGATCGAATTTAAAAGATATACATTTATTTTTTTTGTCATAAAAAAATTTGATATTTTTTTTTGAAATGTTATTAGGTGTGAATGTGGTATTTCCTGTAACGTATCTTATTTCTTTATTTTGTAATCTGTTTTTTTTAAACCTGAAGGGTTCGAGGTGGGAGTAAGTGTTAAATCATGAAATTTGATATTATTTACACGTTACTTTCTCCCCATCCCGGAATGAAGTCACAATGAACATTCCTTTCCCCCATACGATGTCCGATGTCAGCTATCCACTGGGGGACAGGGGTAATAAGTTTTTGGTAGATAGAGAGCCACAGGATATGTTTTATTTTAGTCTTGAGTGTAGTTACTATAAGTTAAAATAAACGCTGGTGACCTCAGTAGACATGTGAACATCAGTAGACTTTTTTTTCAAAAAAATTGTGCTGCTGAAATGGGCCATTCCTTCTTTTACGTTTTACAATTTAAGCAAAAAATTTTTTTTCAGGATTTTTAAAAAATTCTGGTTGCCTCCTATGTATGTATACTGTGTTAAACAGATTTTTTGCTCAAAATTTGATAAAAAGCTATTCATGTAATTTTTTTAAGGAAAAAACTTAGAATTTGTGGAGTGATTTTAAAATGTTACTCCTCCTAGAAAAATTGACGTACACGCATGGAATTTGATTTACAAGTACGTCAAACTACGTGTAATAAAAGTTGGTATGGGTTTTGCGTTAACGTGATTGATATTCATACAATACTTCTTTTTATGAATGTGTACTGAAAACTCCTTAAAAAATGTATAAATTCCGAGTTCAATTATTTGTAAAAAAATAAATATTGCTTTGATTCAAAAATGCATACCAACTTTTGTTACATGTGCTATTAGCAATAAGTAAAAAAAAATTTCAAAGCATTAGGCGCAATAGAAAAAAAGCCTTAGCATTTTAAATGAAGACAAACTAGTTATTTTATCTTTCTGAGATAAGTCAGTTTAAAGTTTTGATTTGCCATAGAGATGTGAATAAAACGAAAGTGAAAGCTATCATAATTCTGCGTTTTTAAGTTTAGAGCTTTCAAATTTTGTGAGGTTATAGAGAGAGAAAAGTATATGAAAAATAATTTAGGCTAAGAAAATTAAATTTGGTTTTTTGACCGATTTTGGTCAATTGAATCGTACTGTGTCCCCTTAAATAATAAGTAATTATTTCCTTAATTTTGAATTATTTTGTATTTAAGGCATACAGTCGAACCTCTGTATTACGAACCTCTATATTGCGAATTTTTCTACAGACCGAAATTTTCCCTGGAACCAAGAGCATTAAGAGATTTTCTTCGTAAAATGACCTCCCAATAGCGAAGTGCATTTTCTATATAACGAACTTCTATTGTGATTCTGTTTTTGCTCATTTTTTAAGTATTTCTGGACATTTCAAGTTTTATTCTCTCTTTTAACACACTTTATGGTGGTCATAAATCTTGAACGTTTTATTAGATGCCTAAAACTCATCCAGAGCGATAGAATTCTGGGTGTTTTATCCAAGAAGTGCAACCTTTAGCCCCTATTATCCAGTTCATTGTAAACATCTTCGATGTCCTCTTTCACCCTCAGCGGAGTTGTCTCGTGTCCTTGAACTATTTATCAAGTAACATTTTTAAAGAATTTTTCAAAATAAAACTTATGAGTCGAATAAATGCGTTGAATTTTAAAACGTTTTTGAAAAATCAAAATAAATCTCAATTTCCCGATAGCATAGCACAGTTGAAGAAAAATAGAATGTTAGTTCCACTATCCATTAATGTCTACTCTTTACATACATCCTTCATCTGATAGTTAAATTAATGGCAATACCGAAATAGAAGAGGTTTGCACCCGCTGGGTGGCGTGGTTGGTTTGTCGCTGGCCTTCTTCACCCAAGGTTGCGGGTACGAGTCCGGCCCAAGTCGGTGGATTTTCATGATGCAGAAAATCGACAGCGGCAATGTGATATGATTATACTGCATGTAAAAGATCCCCAAAGTGTCTGTTTGGCTTGGATATTCCCAGCAAAATTAAATCCTGGTACAGGTTTGCATCGTCAGAGCTCAGGTGCCTTCCTCTTGGGAGGAAACTTGGCGTCAAAATTACTTGCGGTTATTCGTATCCGCTTATATAGAGCGCTGTACTAAAAAATGATACCAGCATCCAGGGGATGTACTAGGTCTGCAATGGTTAATGACCAATTCGCAGCCCATTAGAAATAAATATTTATGGAACTTTCGATTAATTATTCTCTTTTTTCTTATTAATTATGATGAGAGGGTAATACCGTTTTTTTGGTAAGGTACCTCGTATTTTGAAGCCGTGGGCCGATATATCAGCGGCACTGTCGGTGAATTGAGGATTGATGCTTAACAAAGTCGTCTCAAAAATGATTTTTGCGAAAGTTGCTTTACGATAATATGTAATATGGTTAATATTACCTAAGACATATGAGTGGTAAAATTCACAATATATGCATGTTTTCAACTGAACAAGTAATATAAAAAAAAATTAAGCCAATTCCTACTTAGATCAACAAAGAAATTTTATTTTAGCTGCTTTTTATTTAATAGTTACAATTAATATAAATATGTATATACATAGCGCAGCATCACAACATGAAGTGGTCATTAATTTTTATTAATTATCATTTAAGTATCGTATTATCATCCAAAACAATTGTGTATATTAAATTTCAGTTCAACTGAATGCTTTAACACAGTGATCCGCAACCCCCGGTCCGCGGACCGGTGCTGGTCCGTGGACCAAATAGTGTCGGTCCGCACAAGGAATATTAAATTATTTTCACTTTATATACTGTGGTGTATTTCTCTAGGGTTTTATGGTAATCATTTTATACACCATGTTTAATAACTTTATATTAATTTCTTGGTGTGTAACTGCATTTTATTCTGAAGGCCCATTTAAATACATTTATAAACTAAAATTATTAAATAAAAGCAATCTAAAATTTAAACAATCAACGTCCCTCTTTCAGTGGGCCGCGGTAAAATTATCAAACGTTGACCGGTCCGCGGCGATAGAAAGGTTGAGGAGCACAGCTTTAACACATGAGGGAAAAAAACCTTTTCAAGTTTTGACACAAGTCGCCAAAAGGGTCGCTAAGTCGCCAACGTGGCTATATATTTGTAATTCTTTAAATAATTAGTTTTAATCAATTAAAAATTTTTTATTAATTATAATTAAATTATTGTATTGTCATCCAAAATAATCATATACATTAAATTTCAGTTCAATTGAGCTCTTTAAAATGTATTTTATTTACGATTGAAAATTCCACCAAGATAAATAAACAAATAAATAAATATATAAAGAGTGTGAGTTAATAGTAGGAATTGAAAAATAGCCTTACAATTTAGAAAAACAAAATAAAGAAAAGTGATTTGTGAGTCTATTTGCATCTTTTTTAAGGTTTTACTTTTCATTCTTATGCAGGTAGATGGTTTATAACGTCAACGTTAAGTATTAGTCAAAATATAAAAAATTCTCTTGAGGGGCGGCACTTTCGGTCTCTGCACGCGGGCGGCCGACTCCCTAGGATCGGTCCTGGCTAACAACACACAATCCAGCTGTAATGACGCCATTGGAGACAGAGACACCTGTGCGTAAGCGTTGAATTGCGACCAAACAGCTGCGGTTGCAGTAGAACGAAACGGTGCTTGGTTTCAAGACACACCTCGTTTAAAAGGCTAAAAAAATATGCATATGACAATACAAATCATCTAACCATATAAGAGGGAAAAAGTATTAAAATTATCTGTTCGGTGCTAGATAAAACAAAGCTGTTTGTATTGCCCCTCCTCTTATGAGTTCTGATGTCACATTGGAAATGAATTCCTCGTCGCAAAATTACAAGTTTCTTACGCTGGTATTTTCAATCGCGAGTTATAGATAACTCGCGGATAATTCTCCTTTCTTAGTCTCGAACTGACGATTACCGAATCCGTGAGTTATGCGTGGGCAAGAAGTTACAGTCGTTGTGATTGGACACTGATAATCACGTGACATATTGCTTACATTTTACGTTGTATCTTGGAGCGAAACATTCGATCAGCTGTTTTTAACCCGCTTTTTTTGTTTGACGTATTTCTCTTGTCTTGTTTTGCTATGTCGAAAAGCAACTTTACAGTTCAGGAGATGGAATTGTTATTAAATCTTGTAGAAAAAAAAATGAAATATATAAACTGAAAAAATTCCAAACGCAGTTTTAAAAAGAAAAAGAAAAATCATGGGATAGTTTGAGGTGGATTTCAATGAAACCCCCTTTTGTAAAAAGCGGCACCCTTCAAAACAAATTTAAAACAGAAAAAGGACCCCAAAAAAAGCCCGATAAATCTTTTCATCTTTTTTACAAACAGATTCGCGGGGTCGAACCCGCGAGACCCCCCGAAAGGGGGGTTACCTTTGGATGAATAATCCGTGGAGGCGCGATCCGCAATTAAATAATGATGTTTCGCCACACACAAACAAATTAAGTTCCCCCGGTTGGGGGATA